TGTGTTATTAGGGCAAAGACTATTTGTAATATTTTATCAAGCAATATTTTATTAATTAGGTTTATTTTACATTTTGTTTTATAAACGGCGTTGAACAGCGATCCATTCTGAGCTTACGACTACTAATGTTAAGCTCCGTAACCTTGTAATTTTGAACCCAATCCAGAAGACAAGAGAACTCCTGGATCTAGTATAGCGAGAAATTTGCCTTCGTGGAGGAATTGTTTGATTAGACTAACCCGCATTTGCGTTACATGGAGCGGAAGACCACAAGAACCTCCCACGGTATCTTGACGACAAGGGTACTCTAATCCATGATCCATCTACCACTGAAAATATCTTACGTCAGCATTGTGGTCGGTGCAAGCTGGATGCGGAATTCGTATCAATCGCTGGGATTTGAATCCGGTTCACCTCATTGGAAGGCGAATGCTCTATCCCCTGAACCATCACGGCTCAGTTCTTTCTATAGACAAACTCTACCTACCTCAGAAGCCACCTTACTTTTATGACTCTGTGGTTACATCGCATCTCAGGAGAGAAAAACAGACACCTCCTAGAAGAGAGAAGGCCTCAGCACGGATCAATTTAGTAGTCCGACGTAACGAATTTTAGCTGCGCAGTGGATGAATATAAGAAAGATGTCCCTACGTTCGAGTTGCTCATCTGCGCCGTGATGGTAAATACGAAATATGTCATTACTTTTGGACTACTAAAGGATCAAATTTTTTGTTTATGGTAACCCGTGCAGAGGCCTTCTCTTTTCTAGGAGGTCTTGGAAAAACACACCAAAACTCGGGTGGCTCCTCGGGAATATAGCTGACCGGGCGTTTGAGGCGTATCGGGATGGAAAGTGTTAACTTAGTACCGAGCAAAGCAATCATCTGTTTCCGAAGAAAACTATATAAAATAGCAATAATCGGGGGATGGGAAGCGTAAATGAACTGAAGGTAGAGCACACTAGTTTTTAACAATTCATTTCAAACTTATTTTTTAGGGAACATTAATACTCATCTTAAAAATTTCAAAAGCTGCACTTATAAGTAGGCTAAGAAGGAGAAAATATAATTTTATTATTTACCAGATCTTGAACGAAATACATAGGGCGTTCAAATTCCACCATCTCTAAAATCCCTTTCAAGTCTTTCTATAATGAAGCGCCCTACGTTTCTCCTTAAGATCTGAAAATAATTTTATTCTACTTGAAAAATGTGTAATTTAAATTTTTTCTTTTTTCTTTAGAAATAGTTTTTGTGTGTTCTCAAAAAAAGAATAGCATAAAATTAATAATTATAAATTTATAGAATCAATATTTCGAATTAACCGAAATCACGCAAATTTATTTCTTTATTAAATTTCGAAACTATAAAAGAATTTCTTTAAAAAATGTGGGATTAAAATCCCAAATGAATTAATATTTCGCAATTTAATATTAAGATATGCATTCAATTAAAAAATATAGGAATACGTAGCGAATGAATAAATCATTGCTTGAATACTCCTGAAAAAAGTAATTTAAATCTACTGCGTCTGGACTGCTGTATCTCAATATACAGACCTTGAAAAATTTATAATAACAATTATTCCTTTTGTCTAGACTTAAAAAAATTTGTTTTATTTTTTCATGAAAGTGGTCGACAATCAAAAGTAAGTTGAAGACTTTTGAATTTTGAAGATAACAGATCGTAATTAAAATTTGCTTCGATATGCTGTTCTTTAATTCTTCAAAATAATCATTAAATTAATTTGTTTTTCACTTATTTATTTCTTGCATTTTTAATATTTGTATTTATTTGTATACTTCTCCAAATATACTGTTTAGAAAATTTTATAATGGTAAAAATTCGTTTTATTTTTACGAAAAAAAAGCCCTTTTAAAATAACAAAGAAGGATTTGGGGAAAAGGCATTTTAATTACCGTCGCAACAATAGTACCAAATGAGATAACGTATCTTGATTCTAATAAAATCTCTCATTTGTTTTGACAACAAAAGCACCATTAAGCTAATTAACATATTTGTAGTCTAAAGTGTTAAAACATGTAGTAATAGCATGTTGTTGATAACATGAACGATAAAACTTTTTTTTCCTCCAGTATATTCACCGAGATACCTATTATAGTTAGAAAATTATTCGAAAAAGACCCAGGCAAAGCGAAAGAACTTAAATTGCTTCAACTTATACTAAACGAGGAAAATTATTTCGAGTTATGAATTAGGTCAGCTTGAAAATGTAGTTTTCAGAAAAACGATTTTAAAGTTTTCTGGACACCTTCAATTTTCCTGCCTTTGTTACTTTTGATTACATTATTTTGGGATATTAAGTACCTTAAGAAGAAGAAAAAAACCTGATATACTACTCAAGGGTTTTTAGTATTTCCCAAATTCTAGGAATGTCACTGTTAAGACAAAGAATATACATAGGGGAAGAAGTCTAGCTTCCATTTACATAATATAAACCAGTCACCCAAGGTAAGATGCGGTGCCTGCGTATAAAGGGAAAAACAACATTTAGGGGATTGGCAGCGTAGGCTCTTGAAAAGGATTTGCAACCTCTTTCCTCCTAACTAATAATGAGGTTGGGAAAGCATTGGGGGTAAAAAAGAAAAGTTTCACTTTTATTTTTATCGTTGGTTTGTTTTGTATTTTCACACTATTGATAAACTGTACTATATTAATTAAGATCTGATTTTGAGAATGCATTCATGTGATCTATTTTAATTAAATCTGCAAACCCATTTTGTTATAGAAAGAAATGCTGAAATGGTAGTTGGTGGGAAGCAGCGTATAGTGCTGCTTCGAGGAGAACTCCTCCAGACTGAAAGTCTGGGGCTGTCTGCTGCTATGGCGAGAGCACATTTCTAATGGGGGTGAAATGGAAGAAAGAAGGTGTCGATTGGTTTACTCACGACGACCTACGATAAGATTAAGACAAAAATATTCACCCACACCCCTATTCGAAGTGACCTTTCCTCGTAACCATAGTACCCGCCACGACGCGAGACGGATGTCTGAAGTTCTCCTGAAAGCAGTACTTTACCCAATCATGCATGTAGAGTTGTCCAAAAACTGGTTCACAGGTGACGTACCTCTTGATTGTCTGTTTGTTTCCTATGCGCATGCACTGGATCTTAGTTCAAATGACGCCGTTTTAAATCTGACTATGTTGCTCACCCTGCCAGTTATTTTTGCTACTATAGCGCACCGCACCGTGTAGTTCTTCCCGTTAGTTACGTTTTCGAAGAGCTAGACATCTTCTCCTTTCCATAATCTTTGGTTGAGACAAAGAATTTGGTTAAGAGACTCAACTGTCGAGGGGGGGGGGGCGNTCGAGGGGGGGGGGCGAGAAAGAGGGGGACAATTCTAAATTTGCTTTTAAACCTTATTTTTATTAAATTTTCACACATAACTTGATGATGAACTTATTCCATTCGAAAGTATCTTTAGATGCATGTAAAGTACAAGGCCACCACCCAATCACAATACGAGTTATAACATGCGCGGTATTTTAGATTCTCTATTAATTTTTTGCGAAAAAATTATGCCAATACAATTCTTCATGTAACAGTTTTCGATAGGTAGTTAAATAGTATACAGTTCCTTGCTTTTAGATTTTTGATAAGTATTTTTGTTTTTATGCAATTAGCGTTAGAAGAAATTTTAGCATCATCCGAATCAGTCTTCATAAGTTAGATTTTAAAAAATCTGAAAACTGATAAACGTGTAGTTTAAATTACTGACTCAAAACAGCAAATTGCATCAGTTTTGAGAAAAAAAAATTCAAATAAGTTCTAAAAATAACCATGAGCCATTTCTACTCTAATAAAGCGATTCCTTTATTTTTTGTCTTTTTTTTTAAACTTATTGTGCTGTCCAATAATTTTATATATCATCGAAAGTTTGTTAGATACAAAGAAATATCGAGAGAACGCAAATTAAAAATATGGCCAAAAATCTAAGATGGCAAGGATAAAAAATCCTCTTAAGGGGTAAGGCAAGTTTTAAGATTTTTCAAAATCCCTTATCTATTGACACTGGATCAAAGATCCTTTTTACCAGTGCCACTTAAACCATTTCTGTTAANCCGCCACGACGCGAGACGGATGTCTGAAGTTCAGCAAATTAAAAATATGGCCTAAAATCTAAGATGGCGAGGATAAAAAATCCTCTTAAGGGATAAGGCAAGTTTTAAGATTTTTCAAAATCCCTTATCTATTGACACTGGATCAAAGATCCTTTTTTCCAGTGCCACTTAAACCATTTCTGTTAATTTTAAATCTGTTCAATAATATTTTTTCACACCCACATTCTCTTATCTGTAGGATAAGAATGCTACATCGCTTAAAAAAATTACTATCAATATTTTTTTTGTTTAATTTCACAATAAAAAAAGTTCATACCATTACTATTTTCTGATTTCTTGCATATGCTGGAGGTAATTATTTTAAAAGCGTTGCATTATTATATTCTAACCAATAGCAACCATCAAAATTATGTAAATGTTTAAAAACTGTATTATAAAACAATTTCTTTTTTTTAAAAAAAATGACAGACGTTTTTAAAATTGTTTTAAAACATACTTTTATGACGAATAGCAAGAATGAAAATTATTCGCAATTGTTGTTATGTGGAATATAATAGGTGGGACATGCTCCTTACATTTGGAAGGATTCATGTTCCTTACATTTAGAAAGATCATGTTCCTGACATTTACATTCAAAGAAGTATTTGCAACTGTTATTATTTTGAATATAATAGGTGGAATGTTTTCTTTAAATGAACCGTTAGACCTATCAGTTGATTTAGGGTAATGATATCAAGTTTTCAAGAATGTAATTAGTATTTAGTCCCTGATAATGGAATTAAGCGAATAAAAATGAGCTTAATAATTCCATTATATCTAATTAATGAAATATTTATTGTCTTCAAACAGGGTTTTTAAAACTAATGACACTGGTAAAGTTTGATACTCTTTTAATGCAAAATAAAAGAAAAAAAATGTCAGTAGTCATCTTCTTCAACGTCTTCCTCCTCCTCGTCTTTCTCTTCTTCATCTTTTTCGTAAAGGGCTAGTTTTTTCTTTGCAAGTGGTAATTTTTGCAACCAATTAAGATATTCTTTCTGTTCTTCTTCATATACTGGGACATGACTAGCCAGGGAATCTATGAAATCTGAAGCACGTAAAGGTATATTTTTCAGAGAATTTAACCTGCGACGTGTCAGAACTTGGGATACGGTATCGTGTATGTGCGAGGCAACAAAACCATCAGATATACTACCGAGAACACTGAACTCTAGCTTCTTCATTACTCCTGCAACTGATTTAGAAATAAACTCTCTCCACAAACGCACCCTGCAATCATAATCTGGCTTTAAAATACAAATGATTTTAGAATAACTTTTAGATAAACCTTTCACATCAGCATCGAATGGGGAATTACTTGTCCCGCAAACCAATATTCTGTCAGCATGTTTGATTTTCTTTAATAGTTTTGGAAGCTCTTTCTTCAATCTACCAGGTTCAGACAAGGGGCACTTGGAAGGCTTTTTCTTCCAAAAATAGTTTTCGGCATCCTTGATGTAAATTACCGTTGGTTGCAAAAGCCTACCGACTTTCAAGACTAAATGCAAAAGCATTTCTAGGCCATTTTCTCCAGGGTATTTCCCCTCAATGTTTTCAGCGGACAAATCCATTAGCATTGCACCTACTTCTGTACAAATTGAATGAACTAAAAGTGTTTTTCCAGAGCCCTGTGGGCCAGCAAGTAAAATAGACTTTATATAAGCCCCACCGTTGTGGATTGCGTCAGATCCCATGGGCAAAATACAATATTCGTTCACGACTCTTCTTATGTCAGCTAAGCAGGGTAATGGTTCATTTTCTTGATCTTTTAAGAATTGCTTAATTGAGCCAGATAGATTGTATTCACCTATGAATTCATTCAAATGGTGCTTGGGATAGTCACGAATAATATTTTGCTGAACTAGTTCTTCGACAAGAGATTCCAACGTCCTGTCAGGAGTTAAATCTTTTTCAATTTTTCCCTTCTTCTTCTTCCCCTTCTTTTTCGATTTCTTCTTTTTCTTCTTAGAGTCCTTCTTCATAGCATCAGAAAGACGCTGCAATTCTCCTCTCATTTTTTCATCCACTTGCAAACGGATTTCATGATCTACTTCTTTTACTACCTCGTCATTCAAAACATTTATATCAAACTTATCGAGATTTGCAATAGTTTTATTTGGCCATGTTTCATGGAATGCTTCCATGAGATTTATCATGTCGGGCAGATATTTCGAAGGCTCCAATGTATAAACTTCAGGTTCGTCATCCTCATCTTTCGATTTCTTGCTGCTCTTGTCTGTTTTATCGCTTTTTGAACTTTTATCCTTAGGCTCAGGTTCAGTTTCTTCAGGGGGCTCAGGAAATCCCTCGGGTGGAATAGCTAACATAGTTTCGGAGCCACCCTCCTCTTCAGTTGGAAAATCTGGATATGTTCCATTTATATCTTTATATTCGTGAAAATAATCTCGAATAGTTTCTTCTAGTTGTTCTATCAATCTTGGAGCTTCATACAACAACATGTCCTGCTTTATCTCTTCTTTTTTCTTAAAATATTCCTCCTCTGTCTTTTTTATAACCAGTTTCCGATCTCTTTCAATAATGCCAACTATATCTTCCTTGTTCCTATCAGATGGAGCCATTTTCAAAAATTTCATTTCAAGTTCATAATCGGAATCCAGCACTTTTCGAGAGCGATATTTCCTCCAAGCCCTCTGAATCACAGCAGCCGATTCCACTCTTGTTAGTTTGAATGTCACTGATTTCCTGCTTTCCATTTTTTTATTCAATTCTTCTTGCAAGTATTGTTTTTGAGTTTTATAAAAATATTCCCTGGCCTGCCGTGCTCTTTCATGGTCCTGAATCATTCTGATATAAACCATTGCCAATCTAACCATTTTCTGTTCTCTAGTTACAGCTATTTTATCAAGAACTTCTTTTTTGCGAACTGCAAGATACTTTTCAACGATTCCCTTGCGTTGTTGCTCTACTTTTGTTTCTCCATCTGCAAAATACTCAGGAATTTTTACATCCAGCTCTTGAGGAAATAGCCTTAAGCCGAGAGCTGTTTGATCTAAATAATGGAAGTCAGAAATTTCCCAATCCGCCAACAAATGCTTTAGTTCCAAGATCCTCCCTATGCAACAATCGCACATTTTCCTGAGGTACAACCGTTTCTGGGGGTTAGCTAAATTCTCGTAACATTTAATAAGTTGGTTGGTTATTTGTATATATTTCACATAAAGTCTTGATACAACACGAATAGCCATTTGCCTTTCTTCCATTACTTTGGCTTCATCATACGGTGATTCACTTTGAAGTAAAATATCTAATTCTTCATGTGCAAGATATAAATGTGTGTTAAAATGCTTATAAGTCAATTCAAATGGAGTTACAGAATTTTTATCATTCATATTTGATTTTTTTATATTATTTCCTGCCATTCTTATTTAAAAATATCTAACTCAATACTTCTCTACCGAATCAGGAAGCCATCAAACTGTAATCTTACAAAAATTTTACCACGCTATACCTGAAAAAAAATTTATGTTATTAGTTAGTGTTTTGATTTTAATACTCTCTTACTCTATATTTTTTTTAAAAAGCATTCAGAGTTTTACTTTCTATTTCATAAGTAAATTTTGAGATTTTATTTGCAGGTGCTACTTTTAATCACTACTGCCACAACGACTCTGAATTAAATTATTATACGTAATTAGTATCATTACAAATATCATTCCTTATTACTTTCCCCATTATTTAGAAGTTGATTTAACGCCAATTTTTTCTCTCACATTAATAATTAGTATAATTCTTACTAAAAGTACATATTGGTTTTACGGACGTTCGGGAAGGATATAATATTAATTTATATCTATGAATGTCTGATGAATGCACAAGTATGTGCTACATGTGTAAAAGTCTGGAAGCATATGAATTGCAGTAGGCGTGATCAGAATCTGATAAGGGACTATCTCCAATAAAATTTAATATGAACCACCACCAGGTTAGCTTGATTATCATGTTAGCCAGTTAGCTTGATTAACACCAGGTTAAAATATTTTGGTACCCATTAAAGAGAATAAATTAACAGAACTTAGCCGTAATATTATTTTTACCATCTCTAACATTTATGTTTAATATGTTTTTTGGCAACAACAAAATAGTAATTTTTCTTATCATAAAATGTAAAAAATCTGAAAAGCTAATTAAAATTCAGAAGTATAGAAACAAGGTATAAAGTAAAACACTTGACTGACTGGTTTAAAATGTCAACACATCGAAAAATGCATCGGGTTGCTATTTGTATTTATATTTAATTCACTTGTATATGATATGAGGAATTTAGAAAATTTTTATGTTGCCAAACTGTTGACACAAATATCATTAAAACTCAGCCTAGTTTAAGCGTGATGGCTGAACTAGATCAGTAGCTTAACTGCTACGGTTATGTATTAGCTCACCCTAATAGATTATCTTTTGCTTTACGTTTACCTTACGTTAACGGTAACCCTTATTTTCTACTCCTTAGCAATACTGCGCATGCTCAGAAATAACGTATTGCAAGTCGCAATAGAAACGTTAATTTTAGCTTAGTGTCTTAAAAATGCAGACCAAAGAACGTCTAAGATGGTGTATAAAAAACGAGATGTTTCTCCGCTGAAGAGTTTTATCTTCGAATCTTTTGAGCATCAGGTGCGTTAGGCATAAAAATGTTTGTAGCCAAGGCTACAAAAAAAAAATGTTTTTTTTTGAAGTTATACTTCTTATGCGACTTCCAACAAGGTTATGTTAAACGTTTAATGCTACATTTTTATTGGCCGGGAAATCACGTGGTAGGATCCAGTTTTCCCTCATTCACTTCCATATTGTTTTGGTTCTCACTAGCATAAAAATAATAAAAGTCATAAAAGTATTGTTTTTCTATAAATATTTTTTTAGTTTGTTTTGATACACATATAATTTAATAGGGTAGTATTTTTTATTTTCAAATTTAGTGGATAACAATTGTAAAAAATGAGTGAAAACAATCCCACGGACAATGCGACGGATTTAAGGTTATGTCAAGGTACGTCTCTTGTGAATATCAATTGATTGTTAGGTTTTCTCTTCTGAAATTATATTATGATGCATTCACATACATTATTAATACAAATACATTTTCCAGGGCGAGATGATGAGGCAACCACAAGCACTTCCACTGGTTCAAGAGGTCCACGAAGTAGACTCTCAGTAAGTAAACCACGGGGTAGAATCTCAGAAAGTAAATACTTAACTCCTTACACTTTCTCAATTTCATTGAAAATGTGAATATATATTTACTTTGCATAATATCGCCGGTAGCAATGTATGAATACTATAAGCACTCCTATATTTATTTTGCTTAATATCACCAATTGCATTATATGTATACTGTATGTAATCCTATTTAATCAATTACAGAGCGCAAGAGAGGGAAACTTTTGTTAAGCGAGAGCTGATAGTGAAAATAAATAAGATAAAAGTTTGCCGTGTATAGTCAACGTTAACCTGCTTCTGCCGATTCCTTTCTGAGTCGACAATTCTTTCCTTACTAACTACTATTCAGATTGACACTGTTTGTCATAACTTTTGTGTAAACCAGCCAAAACCACTGAGAAGTGTCAGATGACTTCATTTACTTTCTCATTCTAATACTATCTTTGCAATATTTTTAGTTCTCACTAAAAATATTGCAAAGATAGTATTCTTTATCTGAACTTAATATTTTCACACTAATGAAATCTTCTTTTAAACAGTGACACAGTGTACCGCGGCTCAGTTGCATTTGTTATACCCAGGGTTGAGCAGCCGACCGAATTATTCTGAGTTTACAACTGTCAATATTCAACTCCATAGCCTTGTAATTTTGAGCCCAACCCAGAAGACAAGGAAACTTTTAGATCAAGCATTGGGAGAAACTTGCCTTTGTGGAGAACTTCTTGAAGAAACCAACCAGCATTTGCGTTGCATGAGGAGAAAAATCACGAAAACCTCCTACCTAGTACCTACTATGAAAATATGAACATCGAGGAAGATAATGTGCGTATTAAAGGTTTTGTCAAAAAAGGGTCAAATGTACTCTATAATTGCTACAAAAAAATTTATTGTTAAAAAAAAAACTAAATAAAGGCAAATTTGTAAACTTTTCAAGATTTTTTTTGTAATAACCGACAGGAAAGTAATACAAATGAAATAAAAACGTCACAGTTTTTACATAAGCACAGAATGAAAATTCATTATTTTTCTCCTCAGCTTAAAACTCTGTGATCAAAAAGGGAATTTTTGTAATTAATTGGAAGTTTCTCGATTGGGTAAAAAAAAATATGCACAATATAGCGAAGACAAATGTCAGATAATAGCTATGAAAATAACAAGGATTTAGAATGGAAGGAAAAGAAGGAACATAATGGTATAGCTTAAAACAAACTATCCTTCTTGAGCAAAAGAAGTTTTTTTTTTGAAAAAAACAAAGCAGTTGTTTTTGAGAAATTGGCAGCTTTCAGCAATGTTTCTTCTTTGCTTTTATTTCGAAAAAACTTTTCGGTTCTTTTTTTAATGTAATGATGATATAATCTTCAAAAGAAAGGAAAGTTTCAAATAAGTAGAGAGATTTAACTTCTTTTTGAGGAAAAAAGTAATGCTTTCGATTAATTGAAACCAAAAAATAAATTTAAAAAAAAAAACGAAATTTTTTAAATTTCTTTTTTAATTGAATAGAATACTTTTAGTAAAAAGTAACTAACTAGATTCTAGACATTTTGCCCCTTATTAGATAATATATACCTGTAACACAATAAAGAGAAAAAGAAGAGTTAGCGAAAAGAGAGATTAACAAAGAAAATTAAGAAAATAAAGAAAAAATAAGTTTAAACTGTGCTGAAGCTGGCAGTGCATAGAACCCATAAAATAAGGTTAAAATACAAAGAAAACAGGAAAATTATATTTTTTTAAAAAAAAGGAAAAATTATTATAAATTTTAAAAAAATTAAAAAGCCAGAAATACAAAATAAAGCAAAGATATAATCTTGTCATCAGCTCAAAAAAATATTTTTTTGGTAAATTTGTAATTTTTGCCACTCAGTAAGGGCATTCAAATAACCAAAATAAATTTTAATAATTAAATACAGCATTTAGAAGGAAGAAAAATAAATTTAAATATATGAATAGCACATATTTTGCTTTTTTTGAACACCATAATAAAATAAAAATTTAAATTTTACTTCTACAATCAATATAATATACACTGTGATATATAATGCAATATAAAAAGTGATTCCTTAAATAATAATTAAAACTATAATCATACTGAATCATAAGTGGAAAAAAAAATATGTGATAGCACTAAATTTTAATATCATTATTTAATTTAAACAAATAATATTATAAACCATTGAATAATAGCATCAATAAATGGAACTATTATCAAAATATAAATATTAATAGATAAATATAATATTACCGGAATAAATATTTGGAACAATAAACATAAAATTATATGTTCCTATTTCAATATATGAGCGTAAATGATTCAAAAGTATTCACGTTTAAAAACTTAAACTTTTGAGAGTAAATACCAATCACATCTGTAATTAATCACCAATAAATCACTTCTAATATTTGATGAATCACGCGCACACGCGAGCGGAATCATAGCTACCACTTGAGATCACATTTTTGGTCATCTTCCGTTCAAGGAAACACAGAACACTCGAGAAAATCGCCAGAAAACGAAATCAATTCGATCATATGCTGAACCTTTATCAATCCTCAATGAGACCGACAAGCAGCAAGCAAGTAGGGCAACACAGCAAGCACTTGCTGTAAATCCGCAAGAAGCTAATTGTTGATGGTAACACACGGTAGGCGAAAACGAAACCAAAACAGCGAAGACATCAATTCTTTAACGGCGATTCCGGTACAACGGTGTAGAGGCAACGTCTGGACCCATTATGAAGGAAAGTCCCGAAATTCTCATTCTTTTAGTCAGGATATCTGTTTCACGAGCAACGCCGGCATCTCCTAAAACTTCATTCGATTATTTTCTTTCCTTTTATATTTATATATTTTTTACTTATTTGAAAAAAGCATTTTTTTTTTTAATGGAGCCAGTGAAAAAAAAAGTGCCAAACCAACTGCAAAATTTATCCTGCAAGGCTTGAAAGGGTAGCAGTCATGGTGAGTGATGTTAGGCCACGCAGATAGCAGTTGGAAGGCAAAAAATATTTTATTAGCTTCACATAGTATATTTAAGACATTTTCTAGCAAAGGCGGAGCTCAAATTCGCACTCCAAAACTGTGTGCTTAAGTTTTTATCTTAGGGAAAGTAGCAAAGCAATTTCCCTCTATTTTATTATATTTGAGGGGAAAAGGGAAGTCCCAGGGATTACTATTGGTTTATGAACTAGCTCGAGTGATTCCCTCGTAGTTTAAAAGGGAAGAATGTTTTTATTTAAATTTATGCATACTTTGGATAAAAA